AAAAAAAAAAAAAAAAAGAATCTAAACTCTTCTTTTACACGATAAGGTCCCATGAATCACTCGATGGCAACTAACAACATGGTAGCACTCTTTACTAGCATAATACTTTGAACAGAACTATAATCAATAGCTCTTTTAAATAAATGATAGCTAATATTTACAAATATCTTCTGCATAATTTTGCCTGGGTATGTAGATATTTAAACAAATTTAAACTGCAAAAACTACTAAATAATCCATTCTTGGATATCATTACCTTTATAAAGGAGTTATGTTTTAGATAAATGAATCCTAACAGAAACTCTTAAGAAGTTAACATTATATCTCCTAGATAAAGAAACAGAAACAGAAGTTCAAAGAGGGTGCATAACTGGGACAACACAGCACCAAAATCAATCTGATTCTATCAGACTCCAACACTAGTATTCTTTATAGTAATTTAAGTCTTTAAACACTTCATATATCTCAAGTAAAAATTTATTTTTCCATAGTAAGAATATATGAGGGGGCTTCAAGGAGTTCATAGAAAACTTCCATTATCGTTTAATTCCATTTTTTTTTTCCATGAACTTTATGCAAGTTAATGATGCTATTGTTAGGTGCCTCTGAGTGGATTCCAATGGATAGCAATCCCACGTGACAGAGTAGAATTGCCCCATACAGTTTTCTATGCTGCAGTCTTTACAGATCTTTTTCCCACAGAGCTACTGTGTTCAACCACCAACCTTCCAGTCAGCAGGCAAGCTCTTAGCTGTTTTCGCTATCAGGACTCCTTAATTAATGAGCTAGTCAAGTTTAACTGCTGTTGGCTGATAACTGCATTAGTTTAATGTAATCATACTAACAATCACATGCCTGCTAATCAGAAGCTCTTACTGACAGTCATACATCCTTGATAAACAAACAAACAAATGTAGTATATATTTTAAACAGCAGATCCATAGAAGTAATAATAAAAGGGATACTTGGTGAAAAAATGGTTGGGAACGTCTCTCTTGGGTAGATGTACGCCAAATGCTAGTTCGAATGTGACTATATTAAGCACTGCTAGAGTGAAGAATTATTCCCAGTTTTTCAACGTATTTGAAAATATCAGCATACCTCTTGACTTTCCTATTAAAAAAAATAATAAATTCTTGTTATATTTAATAAAATTTCTGAAACATATAAATCGTAACAAAATTATCAAGCCTGTATTTTTAGATTTTCAAATGTTGAACGAAAAAACATTCAGCATCCTCTTTTATGTATGTGTAATTTACCTTTATATGTACTTATAAATTATATAAGTAACAAAACAACATAAAACTTTAATAAATAAATTTACCCTTTATATGTATACTTCACAAAGAATTCAATCTCATATCCCTGTACCCTTATAATAATCTGTATTTTTAAAAATTAAGATAAGAACTTCTGCTACAAATGTTTATAGATACTCTACCAATGTTTTGTTGTTAAGTGCCGTTGAGTTGGTTCTGACTCATTGTGACCCTGAATAGGGTTTCCAAGGAACAGCTGGTGGGTTTGAACTGCCAACATTATTGTTCAAAGTTCAACATCTATCATGTCACACCAGGATTGCTGCTGAATTAAACTCTAAACCATTTGTAATTCACCTTTTCACAGCCATTGTGTCTTGCAAATCGATAGTTGTCATATGAATTCTTTAAACATTATACCAAACTGCAATGCAGCTAGGAATACTAATAACTCCAAAGGTAACTTCAAGTGAATGCTTTCTCCTACATAGATATTACTAAAATATTTGAACTTGTGGTTAAAATAACTGAAGTAGTAAAAAATTATACATACTTCATTTTTCCTTGATTGTACTGAATCACTTTCTCTACAAGGTGGAGAGTCACTTAATAACCTAGAACGAAGAGGGAAAGAAGTGAATTCTTATGCATCCTATCATTTTAATAAATTTTCTGAGTCTTAATCAAATACTTCATTCTCACAATTATGCTCAACTATGGAGACTGCTTTCTTTTCAGTTCAATATACTTTTTAAAAATAAAAGGAGTTGGAGGGAAGAACTAATGGAATATAAGGTAACCACAATGGGGTTGGGGTGGGGGTAGGGGGTTTATTTTGGGTGTTGGGGAGGGCAATACAAGAAGTGGGGAGGAGGCAGAAGAACAAGATAGA